CACTGTGCTTTCACATTTAAAATCAGGTTCTTCATGTTTGGACATATATTGTATATGTTCGATGTTTCAGATATTTGATAAATTGCATGCAACTATTGTAGGAGGTTGTTTTGTGGAAGGTGAGTGGCTAAGAAATGCATTCAGATGGAGAGAATCTATTGGTCCATGGGAAGAGAGGCCTGGACACTTTGGGGATGTTTGGCATTACTGGACTGATGATGGGCTTGGATATTATGAGTTTCTTCAGGTACCAGTTTACACTGCTTCAATTTAACTTTTTTCTTTCCTAAAATGACCCCCCTAACTGTTACTTTGAAAACTACATCAAAGCTTGCGGAGGACCTGGGTGCTGCCCCAATCTGGGTATTCAACAATGGTAATTGTTTTCAGATTTGTTAAATCTTTTATCACTGTGGGGCTTAACTGATGGTATTTCCCTCTTATAACTCAGGAATCAGCCACAATGACGAAGTTGATACTGTAGCTATTGCTCCTTTTGTAAAGGTATCTTTTGAGCTCCCTGGTTATGTCTCGAGTAGACTAAGCATTTGTTGATATAAAGCCTTCAAAATTTGTTGATATAATGATATAAGAGACTTCAATTTTTAATGCATTGTACTTTCTCAGTCATGGGTGCAAATTACCATTGTATATATCAAAACTGTAGATGTTATAATAGCATTTCTTTTTTCGTGAGCTAGAAAGCATATCCAAGATTAAAACTTTTATTTTATTAATACAAATCTTGTGTATCTGAGAAAAAAGATTAAAACTTTATCGCTCAGATCGCAGTGAGAAGATATTTTATGATTTTTGAATAATGCTAAAGTTTTATTCGTCTTCATGAATGCTGAAAGATATAACAGCAGAGGTGACCCTTTACCTTTTATTCAGGTAGTTCACATGCAGAGGTGATGCTTAGCTTGAGTTGTACACTCACATTTACCAAGATTGTCCATGAACTAATTAATTCTGTTTATATGAATAGTAACAAACTCAATAAGATGCCATATGTCTCCTGTAGACAGGTAGTTTTTGTACTTATAATTCTTCTAGCTTCATTGTTATTGAACTGTTTGTTTTTCTACAGGATGTATTGGACAGTCTAGAATTTGCAAGGGGGAGTGCAGATTCAACATGGGGCTCTGTTAGGGCTGCAATGGGGCACCCTGAACCTTTCCCAGTGAAACATGTTGCGATTGGAAATGAAGATTGTGGGAAAAAGTTTTACCGCGGTAAACTAATCAACTGCATTTTTATTTGCATCCTTTAATAAGTTGAAAAGGTCCTCTGCACAAGGGCAATTATGTACTCGATGTCCCTGTACTAGCAAAGAGACTTACTTAAACTGAACATAACTCCCAGTGGTAGTCGGCAAAGGAAATACTTCACCTATGTTTTTTTTTGTACATATGAAGCCTGCTTTTAATTGCATGGAATGATAGTCTTTATGTCTGTTAAACAGGTAATTACCTCAAATTCTACAATGCTATTAGACAGGCCTATCCAGACATTCAAATGATTTCAAACTGTGATGGTTCATCCAGACCACTTGACCATCCTGCGGATTTGTATGACTTCCATGTAAAGTTCTTACTGCCAAGTCTGTTTGTTTTATTTTTCTCTGTCTAATTATTCATTATGTGGTTCTGTCTAATTATTCATTGTCAAGGTCAACTTGCCTTCTTAAATTTAAAGAGTGCTTCTTTCTTCTAGGTCTATACTGATTCTAAGACTTTGTTTAACATGAGGGGCACATTTGACAGAACATCTCGTAGTGGACCCAAGGTAAGTCTCATTTTCACAAGGATTCTTATGAGACAGCCCTCTTTCATGACCAATCATTTACAGAAACTCCAATGGTTGTCTTGCTTATTTACAACATCACCATATCCTGTCTATACAGTAATAAATGTTACTGAAATGATTCGAACACAGGCTTTTGTGAGTGAGTACGCTGTCTGGAGAAGTGATGCGGGTAGAGGAAGTCTTCTTGCTTCATTGGCTGAAGCTGCTTTCCTTACTGGTCTGGAGAAAAACAGGTGATCTCTCTTGATTGCAAGTTGGTTGATGATCAATCCTTATTTTTGTTGGTAAATTTTGTATATTATCCTCTTTGCTCACCGAGGCATCATGGGCGGACTTCGGCCTGCTCCAGTTCTACTACCAAGATAGTCTTTACTGCAAGTTAGATGACCTTTTGTTGGTTCTTTGCAGTGATATTGTTCAGATGGCAAGTTACGCTCCACTCTTCGTGAACGACAATGATCAAACGTTAGTATCCATGGTTTTATCCTCTACTTGATTCTTCTGTTCTTGTCAGTCTAACACCGCAATAACTGTGTTCAAACAAAACAATCAGGTGGAACCCGGATGCTATTGTCTTCAACTCCTGGCAACATTATGGAACTCCTAGTTACTGGATGCAGACACTTTTCCGTGAGTCCAGTGGTGCCATGATCCATCCAATTAATATCAGTTCCCGGTACTCAAGTTCGCTAGCTGCATCTGCAATTACGTGGCAGGATTCAGAGAATAGCTTCTTAAGAGTAAAGGCAAGTAAAATCTGTCTCACCCATCCTATCCTGCGCCTGAAGGATTACAAACCTGTAGACTGTAGTGATCTGAAGAAGCTTCTGTGCAGGTTGTAAACTTTGGGTCAGACACTGTTAGCCTCACGATCTCCACAAGTGGACTTCAGGCCAGTGTCAACGCGCTGGGATCAACTGCCACTGTTCTCACATCTGGCAACGTTATGGATGAGAACTCTTTCAGTAACCCAAACAAGGTCTGTGTACCGATGATCATATATCAAACTTTTTAGAATAATATGTTTACTTCTGAATGAAATAAGTGTCGTGATGTGTAGAGCTTGTTCTGAACACGAAACTTGCTTGCTTGTGAACGATCTTGCAGGTTGCGCCGGTGAAAAGCCAGCTGAGCAACGCTGCGGAGCAGATGCAGGTCACGCTGGCTCCTCACTCCTTCACCACTTTCGATCTGGCGCTGGCTCAGTCCAAGCTTGTGGCGGAGATGTGATGTGTTATAGCATCTTGATAAAAGCTCTGTACTAGTGTACCACGATACAGATATATACGTACTGTACTTCATGAATAAAAATGACATCAGGTTTGCTTGGTGTTGATTGATTTGCTTTCTCCGTACGTGTTTGCTGTGCATGCCAGGTACTCAGACCCTGTTTGGGTTACTTTACTTATTTTTTACTTACTTTGTTTTTTTTTAATTTTGTGTCATTTTACTTATTTTTCGTTTTTTTTAACGTATTTTTTTGTTTTATTAAAACAGCAACGGTTTGCCAATGGGCCGGCTTGGCCAGGGTCTGTTATAAAATGAATGATCCTAATAATTTGGAAAAGAAAAAGGTCTCTTACATCCAGACATGGATTTCTCCTGTGTTACTCTAGTCTAAATTTTTGCAATCGCTAGTTTGGAGGTCAAATTTGAGAAATCGTGGAGCCCGTATTTTATGTTTTTAGCTCATGAAACACAGTCATATTTTAATTAAAAATTGGTAAATTTGTGCATGAAATAAGTTTGGGCTCAGCCCAGAGCTACCAGGCCAGGCCTTCCCCATCAGCCCATGCGCTCCACCTCCTTCACTACACGGACCCACTTACGCTCGGAGCAATCAGCCCCAGCGCACAGTGCCGCCACTCGCTGCTTCCCCAGGCCAACCATCCCTCGCCGCGCCGGCCAGCGGCCACCGCAGCGCTCCGAGGAAGATGGGATGGAAGGCGGCGGAGAAGCTCATCAGGCACTGGAAGATCCTCCGCGGCGACAACGTAATCAGCCATTTATTTATGTTTAAACATCTGTTTGGCGCTGTATGTTCGTTTAAATAGAAGGTCATCAGCATCCATTGCACATAGTACACCTATATCATGTCAGCATTACAGCAAGATATAAGTTGTCGAGTTTGTTGGGCTGCATGGATTACAGAGAGCTGTATATACAAGTATAAGCAATTAAGCATACAGATATATGGAGGTCACACCAGAATCAAGAAATAGTCATCTTCGAGGTACAATACATGAGCAAACTTTATGCCATATTTTAAGCACGGCAAGAAATTGTGCAAAAACTATACTACAAGGCAAAATAAAAACAAAAGATCACAAGAAATTCTTAAAGTTAAAATGAAAAAAAAATGTCTTGAATGTTAAGAGCAATCAACAAATCAAGCATATCCCTCAGAATGCCACATCTCAACAGTGTATACAGACATATTGGTTCCTTCAACCTCCCACCAGAGTGATGAGGAGGGAGCACCAACTGAATGAGCACTCAGATTACTAAAATGTTCATCACAGGGATATGCAGAAATTACACGCACAATATACAAGAGCCAAGAAAAAGGGAAACTGACATTCTGCCAACATGTCACAATGCAACTGCTGATTTGATCTAGTCTTATATCAGCTATAAGCAAAACTTCCCGAAGCAAGCAAAATACATCTCAATTTATCAGCTTGCTGAGAAACTTTTTCCCCGTCTGTAACTAGAGAATTTCCAAATGATAGGCCAGGATTATATGCTCTATCATATTATGGCTAGTTGCTACTGTAGAAAAAAGATGCCATTTAATCTTGACACAATTGGATTATGATCAGATTAAACTTCCACAGCATCATAGTATTTCTCAACCAGTCATGCTAAGTGCACAAGAACCATCCAAATAGCATCAGACCATTGCATTGTAGCAAAATGGAGGGCAGAATTCAGGAACTTCTAAGAAAATACTGAAAAATGATGTTTGAAAAATAAGATACAAGGAAATAGAGCCAAAAGGAATGAGCTACTATGGACAAATATTTCATTTCAGAGGCCATCTACAATCGCAAAAATACGAATAAAAAAAATGAGTTTCATGTTTGCCATATCATTTTCAAATAAGCAACAATTATTATGTATGATGCCAGTTGACCAATGTCATAAACATACCTAGTCGACCAGTCCAAAACTCCAAATAATACCTGCTACTACCATTGACCTGCTGCTCTATCTTGACGCAACTTGTCTCTCTCCTCTTTCATCTTGTTCGCAATCTCAATTACCTTCGGGTTAAATAAACGATCCATAACATATTTCTTTTCCTCTGCTTGTATTTCTTTTATGGCACTTGGGTATGGATTTGGAGGTGGCTTCTTTCCTTCACTGCGGGCGATTTCTTTCAGTTCCTTGTATGCTTTTTTCTTTGCTTTCTTCTGTGTCCGATACTCCATCTAGAAAAAGGATGGTGGTTATACAATAGATATATGTAATAAAACTGGTAGCGTAACTTCAAATTTAAGTACAGTGAGGCCCAGAATTGAATTTTCTGTTTAATGGCGTTTGATAAAAATAAGCAAAAGGGTTATAGAGGAGAAAAATTACATCGGCTACAGCCACCGCATCATCTTCACTGACTCCTTGCTCTTTCAGCTCCAGGACACGCCAAGCAAAAACTCGAGCTGGTGGGGGATCAAATCCACTTATCCTGAAAAGGATGGATAAACAATACATCTTGTGTTCAAAGCGAGAAACTCAAATAAATCAAGTCCAAGAAATAGCGAGGAAATATTCCAGAGAATAGGATCAAAACAGTAATGCCATCAGTAGTAGGACCAAAAAAAGAGTGAATTATCAAGCGGTAGCCTACAGATGGAAGCTGAAGATAGTCGCCAAGGTACCAAACTAATACTAGAATGTTCAAAAGGACCACGCTACTCAACAAATTCAAGAACCTCATTAATCTATTTGCAACTGTGCATCCTTCGTAATAATCAACTGTTCTCACTAATCCAACAAGTATATAACAGCATTCAGAAATTGAGTGATACAATCAGGCTTCGATGAGAAGGCGAAGCATGCCCCATATAAGGATGTACAATACAAATGGAACCCATGCAAATCACCAAACAGAAAAGCGGAACGAAAACATGAAAATTAAAAACTCGAATACTATTTTAACTATACAGCGTTGCAGGATCACGTTTCTATAAGGAAATAACATAAGAAAAGAGAAGGATCTTACTTGATTGCATCATGGTAGAGCGAATCCGGATGTTTTTTGTTGAACTTCCTAACATACACATCCTCAGGAAACTCGATCTTCTTGATCTTCCCCTCTGGGCGAGGAAATGTCACTGGCGGTGCCCTAATGAACAAGCGCCACTTGTTTCAGTTAACCAGAAAGCAGCATGGTGAAAAAGAACGGAAATGTTACATGAGACAAATTATAAAGACACTTTTAAACAAGTCACTAAGTCACTAAGCATATATAGACTCACTTGCCATCTTTGGTTTATGCAAATATACAAATTTAGCACAACTGAACCAAACGAAGCACCATAACACATAGGAAACCAGCTGACGGCAACAGAAACTACAGTCGAGAATCACATCTATATGCAATACCATGGGGCTCAGGGTTTTATTTGGAGAACATATAGGAACCACCACAGCTGTTCCAGCACAAAATCATGTAATTATTACTACATCACTACAAATTATAGATCCATTGTCCATGGATGAGCAATCAAATGGGGCCTATACGATTGCTCGTAGAGGAGTCATTTATTCACAGAATCCAAACAACCCTAAGAGGAGCTATCAACAGTCCGCTGTCCTGACCCTAACGGCATCACGGATGGATCGACCAATCGAGAAATGTAAGTGCAAGGGCACAGCTAGGGACGGGAAAACAGAGGTTGGAGTAGCGAGAGCACCGACTCTTCCATGGCCTTGAGCCACCTGGGCTCGGGCCTGGCAAGTCCCTTCACCAGCTTCCGCATCTTCGTCAGCAGGTCCCCCGCATATGTACGACATCTCCGACGATCCGCTCCGCTGCGGAGGCTCCTCCCCGTCGGAGAGATCTGGAAGTCTCGCAGAGGCCTCGCCGCCGCCGCCGCCGCAGAGACGAACCGCGACAAAATGGAATGGATGGCAAGTCTCACTTGCTGGGTGTAGATGTGTGCAGGTAAATGGGCCGCAAAAGATAAGGCCCAAACGAGCCCATTGCTGGCACGGGGCTTGAGAGCCCATCGCAGAAACCCAGCGAGGAAAGCCCAAAAGCTCCTCTACCCCCGTCCTCTTCCGTTGCAGCAGCAGAGCTCGCCGGCATCCATGGCGATGGCCTCCGCCTTCCGGTTCCGGATGCTGCTCCCGGCGCCCCGGCCTATCCCAATCTCCGCGAGGACCCACCTCACGCCGCCTCATTTCCACTCCCGCCGCCTCGCGCTTCGTCCTCCCCGCCCGGCCGCCCTCTCCAGTCTCCACCACCACCACCCCAGCCGCCACCCGCCCGCGCAAACGCGGTGGTAGCCTGCACCTGCTCCGTGCCGCCGCCTGCTGCAACGGCAGGAAGCGGTGGCGTCGCCAGAGGCTGGCGGGTCTTCTTGGCATGGTGATTCAACCACGCTTCAGTACTTTCCGCGTGAAATCGAGAATCCGATCCAACTGTACCTCACTCCGTTCGAATCGCGCTTGTGCATTGTAACAACAGGTACTTGATGGCTCTCGATAAGAACCCGATTGCAACTAAGGCCGTCACTTCTGCTGTCCTCACCCTAGCCGGGGACCTCATCTGCCAGGTGCCTCACTTATTTTTTCACTTAAAACTCTACTCTGAATTTGTGGCACATGGCATTGATATATACTATTCTATGCGGGACGGAATTCATAACGTGTATTAGTAAGTTAGTGAACCATGGTTTTGAGGCATGCTCGGCTTGTTTACATACTCCTTTTCAAGATGCTCCTAGTTGTGCTCACTGAACAGTTAACCCACTGCCAAGCCCTGCTGACTCTGAGGTCAGACAGGAGCTTAGAGCTGCAGAGATCACTTAACTTAAGTATGATTGGTATTGCGATTTTCTGACAGTGCTATCCTAAGTTGCACGGATACGGATACGCGTGTCGGTATCGGAAGGATCTGGATCTGTGCGGATACGGCAATTTTCTAAGAAACCCGATCGCCGGATCGTTTTACTGTTTTTAATAAATATAGATAACAGCGCATATTAAAATTGTGAAAGAGTGAAAGTAGTAAATTACCTTGCAATAGCAATTACCAGCCAAAGCAAAGACCGGAACTCCGGAAGCATCTACATTCTTCAATTGTCCATTCTCGAGTTCTCCAAGACTCCAAGTCCAGAATTTGCACAAAAAAACCAAGTAACCAACTATCAATCAATTTATTACTAAAACTTGACTACTTAAGTATTCAGTAATCACTAATCAGTAGTAGTTCAGTACATCACCTTGCAGTTCATGCAGCAGCAGCCAGCAAGTTCCTATTGTCTGAACTCTGAACTCTGAAATTGATGCAGCAGCCAGCAAGTTCATGCAGCAGCAGCCAGCAAGTTCATGCAGATGCAGCAGCCAGCAAGTTCATGCAGCAGCAGCCAGCAAGTTCTAAAATTGATAAGTGATAACTGATAACAATAAAACATTGCAATTAATCACTTAAGAGTTAAGACTCTAAGAGTACTATTATTACAGCACAGAAGGTCTGTAGTCTCATCAACTCTCAAATATAGTAGTCTCAAATTTAGAAAATTAATAGAAGGCATTCAGGCTTGCAATTCATACAGCAGCAAGTTCCTATTCCTCAATTGTTTCATTGTCATCCACAATATCAACCGGCAGCTCATCCGGACCAAAAGACACAGACTTGCGATTCAGGTTCATCAAGGGACAGATCAGCCACTTCAAGAATGCCAACACCACCAAGTGAATCAAAAGAATCCCTCCTACATCCCACATCCTTGTCTCTCCTGTCTTGTATGCATCAGTTCTTCTTGACAGATGCCTCAGATTTGAGTGCACAAAGACCAAATCTTCAAAGACGCTCTGGAGTTAAGGCATTTCTCTTGATACTATGGACAAAGCTATAGGTGCTCCAGTTTCTTTCACACAAAGAAGATGAGGCTTTGGTGGCTAAGCAATTTCATGGCCAAACACATCAATAAGGGAGCAGATTGTCCATGATTTGTCCACCAAGTCATAGGGAAACAGCCCATCTATCATGGATTGAGTCGGGATCATTAAAATCTTCCGAACAACTAGAGAACCTTGAGTACTCTTCTTTTACTTTAGCCAATTCTTCCGGCATGGGAAATAACTTCTTGAAGCAAACCATCCTCATTTTTGATACCTCTTTATCCTTGTGGGGTGGTTCACGGCCAGGACCTTCTTCAATCCACTTTTTGCTATAATATCTACAATTGGCAATGATGATTTTAGTGAATGAAAAAAATCTGTCTTGACCATTCAAGTCAATGAAAAAAATCAGAATGGCAATTTGTACCTTGGATTAAGTGAATGAGCTAAACAATGAAGTGGATTATTTCCTTTTGTCCACCTAGCAATCAATATGTCATAAATAACCGAGTACAGACTTGACTCCTCATCTTCTTGCTTGCCCTCATATCGATATATGACTTTCTTCACTTTCTCTATCATTGAATCCCACATCTCATAAACTAAGTGAAGACATGGTGTGTCGATTATACATCATACTGAATCATTTCATAAATAGGAGTAGTAATCTTAAGAATGTAGTCCACCTTGTCCCACCATACATCACTAAGTATCAAATCCTTGACAATTTGGGCTGTTGGAGTTGGAGAATCATCTCTGACTTCTCTGTACACACTCCATTTGTCACTAATCACCATTTGTTGGAGGGCTGTTTTTACCTCAACAAACCGCTTCAACATACATACAACAGAGGCAAATCTTGTTTCAAACAATAGAAAGTAACTTCAAAGGGCTGAACTCATTGAACATTGAAAGCCGCATGCCATGATTCATTATGAAATTCTTTATCATAGCAGCCTCGGTTTTAACATCATACATAAATTCAAGTTCCCCCAAGCAAATAATTCTTCATCGGAGGGTTGTTTCCTATTTTAGGTTCACATATACTTTTCAGTATAAAGATTGAGGGTATGCACAACACATGGTGTCCAAAATATGTTATCATACTCAGATTCTATTATGAGACCAGCACCTTTGCAATTTGCAGCATTATTGTCCATAATGATTTGTACTACATTATGTCGACCTACTTCTTCAATTATACCCTTCAACTTCTCAAAGCAATGTATTCTTTTGATTTGTACTAACCTTCACAATTATCAGCCCTCAAGAACATAGGTGCCTTGTCGAAACAACAACAAAATTGATGATTGGTCGCCTCGAGGATCGACCAACCATCGAGCAGATTGTGACTCCTTCTCTCTGCCCATGTGCTCTTTGTGCTCTCCAACAAAGTCTCTATGTGCCTCCTTTCTTGCTTGAAGCCCCTCCCTAACTCTGTTGTAACCAGGGAATCACATAGCCTTGCATGTTGCATACGCAAGCAAAGGTAAAGGCTTCTCGAAGATATGGATTTCTCATAAAATTAAAAGATACCCCTCCGAATAAATTGCTCTACTAATTAAAGCATCCAAGTGCTTACGGTCTTCCAATGCCCAAGCTTTTTCCAATGCGAAACAGGCCCCTCTTGTTCCTCTTCTTTGTTGTCGTGAGATTGCTTGAGGAAGGAGCAATAGGCAAAAAACAGTTCTTGACTTGGATCTTTCCACCAGATTCTTGCACCTTTCAATTTCCTTCCTCATTTCACTAAGCATTTCATATGTAACATTAGGACATTTACCTATTCCCTTTCCTCCCTTCTGCAAAAAAATGAGCTTCAACTCTAGTGTAACTACTCGGTTTTTGCATTGGGCCAGTGCTTGCAGTACCACATAGCATTTCCTCCACCAGTTCTAGGCTTCTCCGAATGGTTACATGATCCCAAAGTGGAGCCTTGATGTCGATTGTGTTTGTGGCTGCAGATCCTACACTAGCACTTTGCTCATATTTGGAGACGCCATCTACTCTCTACTCTCTAGTCTATCTGCATACAAGCAAAGCAACACGAACTACACTTCATCAATAAGAGTATAAGACTAACTTCATGACTTCATCAATACGAACTACATACACTAGCAATTTCACTAACAGAGTAATGACCCTAACAGAGAGGACTACTGAGACTAATCTGCATCACGCACACAAGCAAATCAACAAGACCTTGAGCCCTAACACGGCGGTGGGTCGTTGGACCGAGGAGACCCGGGCATGCAGGGGAGGATTGAGGAGAGTGAATCCGACCTTGAGCCGGCGTGGCACGCACGCAGCAGAAACCGCTTTCGGATCTCCGTCCCTCTCGCTTCTCCGCAGCAGAGCCGGAGGCGCTAGCGATCACCGTCCGTCCGCTCCGCAGCAGCAGAGCGGAAGCGCCATGATCTCCGTCCGTCCGTCTGCTGCCGCTCCGCAGCAGAGCCGGGCGCGCGCGATCTCTCTGTCCGTCTGTCCGTCCGCTTTCGGGCCGTGGATGGGGGACGAGAGGGAGGAGGATGAGGAGGATTTGGCCGGCGGCCGACGAGTAGGGGACGCCGCGGCGAAGCGGAGGCGAGGCGGACGCTTCGTCGCCGATGGTGGCGGCAGCGAAGCGAGGGTTGCTGGCGCGACGCGCGGGCGCAGCCGTGAGGTCTCCGTGCGGGACTGCGGGAATGGGACTGAGTACGACTGCGGGCATGCGGGATTGAGGCTGCCTCCGTGGGCTTCTAATGGGCTGGGCCGTATCCGGACGAAGGATACGTGTCCGTTGGCGTATCCGATTTTAACAAAAATAACACAAAATCGGATACTCGGAGGATACGTATCCTAGGCGTATCGGATACGTATCCGTGTCCGATACGTATCGGATACGCGATCTGCGTCTTCGATGAAGTATCCGTGTAACATAGGTGCTATCGGACCTTGTTAAGACCATTTGCAAAAATAAACTGAATTTCATAGTGACCGTTAGTTCGTTACTGTTTGTATTTGCTATGCACTATGTATGGTCTGAACATCTAGTTGGCAATAAATTTGTGCAGTCATACTCTTTTGTATATAGTTCAGCTTGTTGGCAGTAAACTGGATTTCTTCATATATTGGCAATTAGTTCACTTAACTGTTTTGGTTTGAAGATATTGCTATTTTGCTACTGTTTATTACTTACCTAATGTGTAATCCTACAACCAAATTTGTATTATGTTTCAGCTTGTTGTTGATCGAGTGCCAGAGCTCGATTTGAAGAGAACATTTGTATTCACACTTTTGGGGCTTGCCCTTGTTGGACCAACTTTACATGTCTGGTAATCTTATCTATGCTACCACCTGCAGAAGTAATGGCTACTAGTAGTCAGTGTTCTCTTTGTTTCAAAAAGAAAAGAAAAAAAAGTCAGTGTTGTCCCACCCCCCTCCAGTAGTAGATAATAAGTTTCCATTTGCAGGTACTTGTATTTGAGTAAATTAGTGGCAATCAGTGGAGCATCTGGTGCTATAGCTCGCCTTTTACTTGACCAGGTTTGTGACTATGCGTCATATCTGTCTCTCTCTCCAAACCACAAGGATAGATATCATGTGCTGCTCTTCCTAGTTTCCACATTTACATCATCTGTTTTTTTTTAACATATCCTCTAACTGCTCCTTCTGTGCAGTTTATTTTCTCTCCCATTTTTATTGGAGTTTTTATGAGCTTACTGGTCACATTGGAGGGAAATCCATCACTTGTAGTGCCAAAACTTAAGCAGGTGAGATGAACCCTTTTTGTACACTCTCTCATGTTTACAATACTTGGCAATTGGGTATGCTCTCTTTTTCTGCTACCTAATTTTTTAATAATATTTGCAGGAATGGTTGTCATCAGTATTGGCGAATAAGCAATTGTGGATACCCTTTCAGTTTCTGAATTTTTATTTTGTCCCACAAAAGCTTCAGGTCCTTTAAAATGCACATTGAGATATTTAGAATATAGTATTTAGTGTTCTGGAAAGTGTCTTTTGTTTTTGTATTATGTATGTATGTTTGGATCTCACCTAAATCACTCCATTTTTTTCTCAGGTTCTTGCTGCTAATTTCGTAGCTCTTGCATGGAATGTGATTTTGTCCTTTAAAGCCCACAAGGAGATTGTAGCAAAACAGGTGATGTCAACAGCTTGGATTTCATTCTCTTAGGTTAGTACATTGAAATGAATAAATGATTGCCCCACTGTCACTGACTCCATGCCAATGCAACTTTATGCCTAAGTGAGTGTTTCGTTGAACTCTTCTTTATCTTCACTCACTATTATTATATGCACATAATTAGGCATTGTTTCTGTCTTTGAGTGATGCTGAAAACTACCCTGCCTTTTTTCTTTGTGACCAACCAAGCGAGTCACTTTGATATATCTTTTTCATGCTTCATTTACTCCATGACAGTGAGCTACTGAGGCCCTGTTTAGATGCGAAATTTTTGGCTTTTGGTTACTGTAGCACTTTCGTTTGTATTTGGAAAAAATTACCCAATTATGGACTATTTAGACTTAAAAGATTCGTCTCGTCAATTACGGGCAAACTGTGCAATTAGTTATTCTTTTTACCTACATTTAATGCTCCATGCATGTGCCGCAAGATTTGATGTGACGGAGAATCTTGAAAAATTTTGGATTTTGGGTGGGATTGAACAGGGCCTGAGCATTCATTCCTGGACTTATTTTCCTGCCTCCCCGAAAGCATCATTGTGGATGGACTGTGATTGGTTGTAACTTGGTACCCCAAAAGTCGGACCTGTCAACTATCACCTTTTCCAATTAAATGTGATCTTGATTGATCCCAAAGATACCCTTTTGTTCTTTACAAGATCTCTGGTGGATCTGGTAAAAATGTTGTCTTTCTGAATTTTATATTCTTGCATGGCTCCTAGCACTATAAAGTCACTGTCAGAGTGTGAGTGGTTTTGAAGTTGATTTAAAATTTCTAAACATTTTCAGAATTAGTAACTCACTGTTCCCGGTTGATTCATGTTATCCTTTTTTTTGTGAAGGATTCATGTTATCATTATTAGTTGATTGTTCATTGATCTCAGGTGCTTGTTATTGTCTTATGTTTCAGAAAATTTTGCTAACGATGGGGAATGTGGTGGCGACCTGGAGCAATTGTTCCTTGAAGAGGAAAGTAAGGGCCAGGAATCAGGATAGCCATGTTGTGGCAGCTTCTGCTTGCAGCCTTGGAGGGCAGTCGAGTGTAGAAATTGTTACCCGAGGCTGTGAAAATTGTCACTCAGGAGTGCGTCGTTAGGACCAAAGTTCAGGAACCGAAATGTATCATCGTGATGTCACGTTTGCATGATCTCCAGAGGATCATGAAGTACCCTCCTTTTCGCACTCCATTCCAGAATGATAAATTATAAATGTATTTCAATCTGAAAAAGGTCATGTAAAATAGATTTTGAACCTTAATTTTTCATACAATATGTTGCCGTTTGGTAAAGAATCAATATCATCTTGGAGGCACTTTGATACTCAAATCTATTAGTGCAAGTTTTATGCCCTCGACTTGTATATAATTTGCATAGTTGTTTACCAAAGTTTATAAAGTTTGCTGGCGTGGCATTTCCTCTGAAAGCCAAGAAACGCAAGCTTGGCTTTTCTCTGACATGTCACAGATTAGTTTGTTTGGCGAGGCATGCATTTCCTCTGAACGCCAACAAACACAAGCTTGGCTTTTCTCTGACATGGCACAGATTAGTTTGTTGGCGTGGCATCTCCTCTGAACGCAAACACACGCAAGCTTGGCTTTTCTCTGACATGTCACAGATTAGTTTGTTGGCGTGGCATTTCCTTTGAACGCCAACAGAAGCATTGTCAATTTGTCACTTCCATATATCTGTTCACAGTGAAGTGCAGGACATCGAAGAGCTGTGAGCTGTGAGCACGCGACGTGTGCATGCATATGCGGCACGTGTGCCTACGTGTCTGCCACCCAAACAGAGACGTGGCAGGGTTTTTTTAATAATAACTTCGTGGCAGGGGTTTGTGCTTGTGCGTTTGCGTATACTCCCTCCGTTTCACAAATCAATTCGTTCTGGGCTGTAGATCAGTTTTCACATATCTGTTCGTTTTGAGTGGACCACGACTCAAGTAGACGAGTTTGCCCCGGCCTCTTCGGTTCCCGCACGGGTCATTAACGCGGAGCGGCGCTAGCGCATGACTGCATGCAAGACGAGGACGGGCATTGAACAGATGCAGCTCGCGCCTCGATCGCGTCAGCGCCGGAGTCCATCGCGCTGGAAAAGATGACGGCGGAGGTCGCGTCGGAGAAGACGGTGCAGGACGTTCAAGCAATATTTAAAGAAAGAACAAGATGCAAAGAAAGATTACGTAAACCATACTGTAAGGTCCAAAAGCTCACGTCTTGCATTGGAGTACTACATGTTTCATGCGTTAAATCTAGAGTAGCAGCTGAATCAATTCTCATGCCTAACCTTACAAGTCTAATTGCTTGATGCAGCAAGAGTGGCAATGGAATCAGCTAGCAAGGAAGTCTCGCAGGTGAGTTGCAATGGAAGCCTTCCCTGGTTCTCAAGGTGCCCTTTTGCCATGTGTGGAATCTTGAACCGGTTACATCCTTTTGCAGGTGAGTTGCAAAGGCGAAAAACGCGGCCGAGTGCACAATTGCCATGCAAAATTCGTGACCTTTGCAAAAATGCCGAGCGTGGTAGGGATCGAACTGAGGCCTCCTAGATCAGGAGGCAGCGTGCATACCACCCCAGCTACGCACGGTTAGTGTATAAATGATACCCACAACCCTATTTAATAAGGGCATACAGGGAAAAATACACTCTACTTAATTGCTCCTTGGTATCCTAAATCATGTCCAAAACGAACTGATTTGTGGGATGGAGGGAGTACTATTGTTCTGTATATATGCCTTTGTTTAGTTCCACTCTAACTTCCAAAAAGTTGCTATAGTACCTGTCACATCGAATATTTACGGCCCGTGCATGGATCATTAAATGTAGACGAAAAGAAAAACTAATTGCACAGTTTGGTGGGAAATTGCGAGACGAACGTTTTGAGCCTAATTAGTCCATGTTTGAACACTATTTGCCAAATAAAAATGAACGTGCTACAATAGCCCCAAAAATCCAAATTTCTCCAACTAAACAAGGGCTATGTATCCTTCCAGCTTATTCACAAGCTGAAGGAGGATCATGAACTACCCTTTTTTGTACTCCATCCCCGATATAAGCGTATTTTGGTCAGAAAAATCATACATAATAGATTTTTGCTAAAGAATTGATATCTTCACATATGTGTTTTGGATACAAATTTATATATAGCTTGAATAACTGTTGATTAAAATCTGTAAAGTTTGACTTTTCCCCGTACAAACGCCACGAGGACATATCTGTTCTACTTGGGGTTACTTTGTGGGCATGGCATTTTTGTAGTCTATTTGATTAGTTTATCGGCGTGGCATTTCCTCTGAACGCCAGCAAACGCATCGCCAGTTTGCCACCTCCGTATCTTGTTCAGTCTAAAGTGCTGGACATCTCGTTTCAAAAAAAGTGCTGGACATCGAAGGGCTGTGAACCATTCCATGCTAAATTCTCTTGGATACCTACACACAAACCAAGGCCACTTCGACGCCACCACACAAGGCGTGCAAAGCATGTGCTACACGTGTGCCTACGTGTCTGCCACCACAACAGAGACGTGGCAGCGGTTGTGCGTCTGTATATATATGATGATTATTCCAAGCTCTTATCGTGGAGGTGGCGATGATAGAGCTGTCTAGTGCGGATGTCGGTGATCGATGCTAGCCGTTTCTTGTCCATCAGAGATGGTGAGCATCTCTACAAGCACCGTATTTCTTCCTCGGTTTAAGCTAGAAATTTTTTTTTATGTAGACTTCGCTATTTTGCTATCAGCACACAGCACTCTCTCTGAATACAGGGATGGTGAGGTCGTCCGGGGAGCGCGGACCCAAGTGAGAGTGTGCTGTGTGCATCCAGAGGCAAAGAAGAGGAGCCTGGCTGCCTCCATTCTTCGTTGCCCTGAATTCTATCTCACCTCAGTATCATATTTCCACTTACAGTACTAGGGGAAGGGATGAACATCCATGAAGATGAACATGCTCGGGGTGGCATTGAGGAAGGTGGCAGCCAGCTTACGCATCCTTCCAGCCTCAACATCGACGCTGCAGAGGAACAAGATCAATTATTGCATCCAGGTAAAATTACTTCAAGTTCATTGATCTTGTTTTCTCTACTGCATGCAGGAAAAACATGCCACTATATATAGCAAGCAACACATGCACAGGGATTAGTTGAGCAATTGTGTCCAGGTTAATTCATTTCAACTGCATGCATATATTGCTGGTCACCTCTATTGCATCCAGGAACACATGCACGAGACTTAGTTTCAGAACTCGCTACACGCAATTTATTTTTGTAGAGGTTGACAGTGATGTGCATCCATTTGATGGCATTGTACATGGTACTGAGGAAGAACAATACAAGGATCCAGGTTAGTACACTAATCTTACACTTACTTGCAAGTCGTTCATTAACAATTGGTCAAATGCATCATAATGCTCTCACTGTTTGCTCTACTTAGCACCAGTTAATGGTTTTGGCTGATCTATTTTAGTGAAATACTAACTTTTGACTTTTAGTAGGGCAAGGGGCTTAAATGAAATGGCCAATAAGCTCATTTCTTTGGTCTACTTTAGTGCTGCTAATAATGGTTTTGCCTGATCTATTATACTTTTGTTGCAAGTAACTGTATTTAGGAACCTGACAAATTGCTAATTTCTAATGTCTGTCACCAAGTAAAGAGTGTTCCCTCTCAAAATTTGATGCAGCTAGAAGGGCAGTGGCACAAACTGTATTCTTTGTGCACATTAAATCACTCTTCCAAGTTATAGACTCATATATGCAATAGACTGTTTCTCTCCCTTCCACCGTCAATTCAAACCAGTAGTCCGACACAACATTTACATGATCCTAAAATTTGTTTGCCTTCATGATTGCCATGGTCACCACTGTTTAGTTAATAAAGTTAAACCTCTGTCTCAGTAGTTTGATACTAAAAATTCTCGTACAGGCAAGCCAGGGTTGCAATCCGTAGTCATGGATGCCAAGGAAAAAAAGAGGAAAAGGGAGAGAGCGGTATGCACGGATGACTGATGAAAAAAAGCAGGAAACACTAAAGAAACCCCGTGAAGTCTATCAGCACACAAAAAATTCGACACAGTTCCAAAAAAGATGCGCGCGAAAGAGGCAACAATATGCAAACATGCAGCCAGAACAAAAGAAAACTAGAAGAGAACAAGTTATAGCCAACTGTAAATTGTATCCAGGTTAATTTATTTCAATTGCATGCATCTTGCAGTTTACCTCTATTGCATCCAAGAACACATGCACAGGCCCTAGTTTCAGGAACTCACTAGTAATTTATTTTTGTAGAGGTTGGTAACGATGTGCATCCATTAGATGACAATGTACATGGTACCGAAGAAGAACAAGACATGAATCCAGGTTAGTACATTAATCTTACATTTACTTGCAAGTTCATTAACGAAAAGTCAAATGCATCGTAATGCTCTCAGTCTCACTATTTAGTAAATGGATTCATCTCGATCATAATGGTCAAATTATGCTTTCATGCTATCTACACTATTGATCTCTACTACAAGGATTAATTCTTAAATTTTTCATCCATGTTGCAAGTTCCACTTGAGCAAAATCAGATGTTCAACACAGGAAACCGTATGAAACAAGATCAGATTTTCCTCTGTTTGTGCAGACAAAAATGTCAACCAAAACCATTAAATCAACAATGCAAAACCATCAGACCCCGTTAACTAAAGTGCCCTAAGGCAAATTTGATATTAAGGATGATCGATCTTGAGTCTTGACCTAACACAAGCTTTACTTTTTTTTGAAACAAAGCGCAGAGCTCTGCCGCTCAATAAAAACGAATGAATTTTATGTACAAGAAAGGCTCACCAAGCGAGATGCCCACAGAGCACCCGAGTGGCTAACCAACCCACGCGACACGGTCAAGCACAAACACGGCATACTACCAAGGGTTATCGTTGCCGAGCATGGAAAAACATCTACCAGCAGCTCCGACTTCTGATGGCAGGTCACCCACGAACCTCCTACCGATGGGTTTGAGACATCGAAGACGCGACGATGATCCAAATGTGATGCCTTCAGGAAGAGAGCGACGCCGATGGCGCACCGTCGCACGTCCATAATGGACCGGGTTTTCACCCTTGGATGACTGCTAGAGGGAAAGACACGACATCCCCAATAGGGAAAGCGGCGCCCACCGGCGTCGCCATCGCCAAGGCTTTTGCCCAAGGAACCCTCTAACAGACCAAGAAGGCGGACCCCCTGCCAGCCAGCACCGCCCTCGCCGCTGTCCTGCCGCCCCACCGAAGCCCCTTTAGAGGGCATCGACGCGCCGGCTGCCTACAGCTCGGCCGCCACCCCCTCCAACCGGGCAACACATAGAGCCGAACCTGACTCCACCGCCGCTCGTTGAGGCCGTTGTCGACCACCACCGCCGGCTCTAGCACCCATCGCCATTGCTGCCGACCTATGCCGCCAGCAGCCACGAGGCGTGTGCCCCACCATTGTGGGCGTCGCCCCCTATCCTGGGGCCGTCAAATACGGACGCCATGCCCTGAACCCGACGCCCCCTGCCGACACCGCCGGTTCCGTCTTGACCACAACCGCGGCAACGTCCGTAGCCAGCCCAGAGCAACCGCGGCCACCCTGGCCGTTACCAGGCGTGGGGGGCGAACTGCCTCCAGTCCGCGCCGTGGGCAGGCCAGCCCGTCAGGACGTCGCCGCAGCAACCCAGGCCATGATAGGGAGGGGTAGGCAGAGAAGGAGAGCGCCGCCCCCAGCGCCTTCATGAGCCCGGTTGCCGCCACCGCAGCCACAGCCACGACCGACCGTTTCCGCACGTGCCGCCGACCCCTAGCTAGATCCAGTCGTCCGGGGCCCGGATCTGACCGCTCGGGCACCAGGCTGGCTTCCCCGGCCATCACCACCGTCACCGTCAAGCCCAGGAGGAGAGAGACGCGGAGGAGAAGGAGTCCCGCCGCCCTCCCTTGTGCTGGCCCGGGCACCTGCCAACACTGCCATAGCCGCGGAGGCCCTCCCCACCGAGCTCCACGCAGCTCACGCGGGGGAGGAGCTGCCACGTATTTATAATCGCCGCAGTGAGGAGAGCCCCCCGCCGCCATCCACGCCACCCGACGACCATCTTTGCAGCTAGCTCAGGCGGCGCCGGGTGGTGGAAGAGGAAGGAAAGGCGGCGGCGCTAGGTATGCGGGGCGGCCTCCCGTGTCACCATGGGGAGGCGGCGAAGCGAGTCCGTCTCATGGGGCAGAACTAGGGGGGATCAATAACACAAGCTTTACTATGAGACCCAAAATCAACTTTAATTAACAAAGGTAAACTAAAAAATGAAACACCAACTTTGAATTTTTAGTAGAGCAAGGGGCTTAAAAGCAAACGCAAATAAGCTCATTTCTTAGCTCTACTATAGCACTGGCTAAATATACCACCGCGTCTATCCGTGCGTTTGCGGATTTATCTGTGTGCGTTAAATATACCAACAAGCTTTCTAGCATCGTTCTTGAGAAAGCAGTTCTTGAATTAACTTTGAGCCTAACTTAACATTTTATCTTTTATTTTACTTTTTCTTTTAGCATGGATTCCACTCCTATTTATCAATATACTAAACCCACGGCGCAAGTCTAGAGCCACCAAAATCTTGAGCTTATCCTAACACACGCTATGAGCTATGCCCGTGTTTTATAAAATTGATCTGGGATAAATCCTTCTCGGGAAAACAACGAAAACCAAACTCATACCTCCAAGAGTTTGAATAGACCAGTGCATGCTTGTGTATCGTTGGCATGTCTGACAAACTGTAAGATGGAAGTTGTTTTCGTTCTCTTTGTGGGAAGAGCTAAACATTAGTCTTGTCAAACCGTAGAAAGTATACAAGGAGATTGGAAAATGTTATGCTCTAAATTTTGTTTATGTTTCTTTCCAATCTCTAAAGTGGTTAGCCTTCGGAAATAGGTTCTAAATTTTAGACAATTAGAAGAAGAATCTCTTGGTACATCGTGGGATCGTTTTATTGAACTCATCATCACTGGCCCAGACCTTGCCATTCACGACCCTGTACTTCTTCAACATTTTTACATGGATCTTAGCAAGGATTCCATGAAATCCTTTGATGCAGCTTCTAGAGGAGCTTTCCTTCATTTGTCTACTAGTGAAGTAAGGGCTATGCTTAATAGAATTAGTGGAAAGACTCCCGGCACTGGCATTCATAATGAACTCTACGAAGAAAGAGAAGAAATCATCTCCCGATCAAGAAGAGGAAGTTTTAATAGCCAAATCACAACCGCTTCAATCCCAAGATTTAGCTATCAATCCTGAACCACCAATACCCTAAAATCCTCCAAGAGAAGATGGAATTCCACCTTTAGAAATCCCTATTAAAATTAAGGATGACCTTTTCGATGCTGATTTTGAGAGAACATTAAATTTTCATCTTCATAAGAGACCTTCGAGCGAATATAATTTAAATCCTCTCAAGAAAGAATCTCTTAGAAAGTGTCCTTATTCCCATATAGGACATTGGGAAAATTCAAGGATAGCATTTCAAGTAATGCCATAGAAGGAGAGCTGAGCCATCTAGAAGCCATTCCTATCCTCTCCCCTTCTATGTCCACATTAGATGTCTCATCTAAACCCATCTTTCAACCCATCCTTGACCCCGATGATCCCTCTTATGTTCTTTGTGGTAGAACCTCCTAAGAAATCGGACCCACGTGCACCTATCGATGTCTCAACAAACCTCTGATAGCGTACACGAGTTCCCAACAACTTAACAGATATGTCGGGTGTCCTCGGGAAACCCTAATCATCCATGAATCTTTTCTAAACAGGATCCCAATCACAGACATTGCAGATTACAACATTTTTCAATATACATATCAGAGATCATAAAGCGAAAGACTTAAGTTTTAGTATTACAAACCAGTTGTTTCAAACTTACAAAACCATAAGTGTCATACAACCATAGTAGCGGGATAATATTACATTAATATTATTTATTTCACACAAACTAGTGCCTTGTCCAAAGGCCATTCATCATTCCTCATCGTCATCGACTTCAAACACTGACATGCAGCAGGGACCAAAACAAGCCTGCGCATGCGACTCACCTGCAACAAGGGTTAACAAACCCTGAGTACAAAAGTACTCAACAAGACTGACTCGACGAAAAAGGGGCGAAGGTCTTAGGGATGCAGGTGTTGGGTCAAGGTAAGGATGTAGCAAGATTCAAAAGTTCTTTGCCAAAAGCTTACTATTCTTGATCCTATTTTCGAGTTTTACCCCTAAGCCCTTTTAGTTCATTATCTCAACTAAGTGTTCATATCCCATATTTCAATCCTTCTCATTCCGTTCTTTTTCTCATGTTTTAGTAATTCACCAGTCCTGCATTGCTTCTGTAATGAATCGAGTCTCCATATCCGCGGAGCACCGGCAATTCGAATTGATTCAAGTCCTAGCTGGGGATTCCTTATCACATGACATATGTAGAACTTAATCTTGCATATATCAACCTCGCTACCGGATCCTCCCATACTAAGCCGTCTCCACGCCACCCGAGAGTACAGCACACCTCAAATCTGGCCACATTCTAGCCACAAGGGTACACGCTACTCCCGCCATCTCTCCACTCCCAGTGCGTGGGCATTCGTCTTAGTATTGGATTAGCCGAAATAGGCTTACCGGAGTATGTGACCAGTACTACAAAGTGTCTCGTTCAGAAGATCCACAATGAGTGGCCTTTAAGCGACATAGTCGGCAACATTATCCAACATTCAAGATAAGTCACCC